GCCCGAGTCCGGCTCCTCCGATGGGCTCCGCAGTCTCCGGCCCCCGTAGGCTTCTCCGGCTCCCCCGAGGGGGCTACGCGTCTCCGGTCCCCGAGAGGCCTCTCCGGCTCCCCCGGGGGGCTCCGCCGTCTCCGGCTCCCGGGAGGCTTCTCCGGCTCCCCCCGGAGGGCTCCGCCATCTCCGGCCCACGTAGGCCTCTCCGGCCCCGGGAGGCTTCTATGGCTCCACCGCGGGGCTCCGCCGTCTCCTGCCCCCCCGGGAGGCTTCTCCGACTCCCGGCCCGAGTCCAGCTCCCCCGAGGGGGCTCCGCCGTCTCCGGCCCCCGTAGGCTTCTCCGGCCCACGAGAGGCTTCTCCGCCGTCTCCGGCCCCCGGGAGGCTTCTACGGCTCCCCCGGGGGGCTCCGCCCTCTCCGGCCCACGTAGGCCTCTCCGACCCCGGGAGGCTTCTATGGCTCCACCGCCATTTTTTTTTTCTTTCTTTCTTTCTTTTTTTTTTTTTAACAAACAGGCAAATACAATATGTTAAAGTGTTGTTGCGTAACACACCGAACACGCTTTGAGTTTTGAAACGTCAGCCCAGTAGTTTCTTTTTTAGAATTCATTCTTTAGAAGTGTTTGAGTCAGATGAATCATGAGTCAAATGTCAATTCCTGACAGAATCCAGTGATTCTGTCATTTCCTGACAGCAGTGACAAAAACAGACCCCAGTGCTTCAGCTATCTTTATCACTGACATCATTGTCAGTGGATTTATCCTGAAGAGGCTGGACTAAATAGGACAGATAGGACTGATAAAGCGAAGCATGCAAAACTAAAACTGGTCTTAACTTTCAGCTAAGAATGTCTTGTAACCTAACTGATGACCAAATTAACTTCTAGCTGCACCACTGCTTTCAGTTTCACGGTTACAAGAAACTCAAACAGAGCAGTATCAACATCATAAGAACCTCTTGAGAAGCTACTCACTGTCTCTGGGCTCAGGGTCCAGTCCTCTGAACCTGCCTGTGGGTCTGGCATCCACCACCTGGAACTTCTTGGTGTCCAGGTTATCCAGGATGTCCTCGTAGTTCTTTATCCAGGAGCGGTTCAGAGAGGCCTTGAACTCGATCGATGTGGGTCTGACATACTGGTCGGTCACCGGTCGACCCTCCAGCTCCCAGTTCCTGAGCCCACCGTTGAGCAAAGACACCGATCTGTGGCCAAACACCCGGAACATCCACCACACTCTGGGCGCCGAGAACGCGCCGAACTCGCTGCCGTCGTACACCACGACGTGCGTCTCGCCGTCTATTCCCAAATTCCCGACGTAATCTGCGAAAATCTTCTCTGTTGGCAGCATGTGGTCCAGAGGAGAGGTTTTATCACAGCACTGGTCTATGTCAAAGAAAGCCGCGCCTGGTATGTGCTTCTGCTTGAACTCGCTCTTTGCGTTTCGCCGCAGTTTGGGCAAATACCAAGAAGTGTCCAAAATGCGCATTTTCCCCTGAACCTGCACAGCCTGACTGAGCCACTTCGAGGTGACCAGGGCTTTCGCTTGAAGCGCCATGAGGAGTCCGGAGAGGTAGAGAGGCTGCAAAGTTGACTGTAGCGTTTACTGTATGGACCTGATCCTGTGCCAAAGGTTACCAGAGTGCGCAGTGGAGGGGAGCGCGCAACATCCATCACGCCCCCAGCTTCCCTTTCACCGAGCAACAGCTGGAAGTGATCGGAGGCGGAGACGCGCTCCAGGAATGACTATACTCTGTGACAAGTCTGTAAACTGCCACATTAAACTCATCAGTGTTTAAAATAGGCTTCAGCTTCAGGTGACGACTTCATAACATGTCACGTTTAATTTTAACCCAACAGAATTATTTTTATTTTAGTGCTTTATTTTCTAGCTCCACCTGTCTCTATATGTGTTAGTTATGCATCCTCCTTCGACCTATATCTATATATGTTTAAATAGTCTCGTTCACAAGTCCAATCTTTTTGTTTTATACAGCCACTTAATTTTGCTTGAGCACCTTAAAAAAATGTTTTATTGTTACTAATACTAATAATAATGATAATTAATAAATATGAATATAAATCATCTTAGCTAGGTAGGAACTTTGTGCATCTTCCATTGTTTTCCGGCCGAGCGCTTTCAGTCGACGCACACGCGGAGCTCGCCGGTTGTTGACGAGCTCACATGCTGCTGTTCGGTACAAGAGGGCAGATTTCACGTATGTAGCTTGTAGACTTACGGAACTTCACAGTATTTAATCGGGATGTCCGCGTCGTTGATCAGAAGAGGACTGGAGCTGCTGAGCGACGACATTAAAGGTCGGTTTAGCCTGTTAGCTCGCAGCTAGCTAGCTAGCATTAGCATTTCTTATTCTTGTAGCTGCGACCAGAGATTTTGAGCGTCGTTAAGTCACAAATAGACTCATGGTTATCTGTGTTTCATCGCTGCTGCTTCAACTAGAAAACTGGCGAGTTAATTTTCATTTCACTTTATGTATGATGGCAGCAATTGTAATGTTATCATTCATTATGTTAAAGATAAATGGCAAAGCATTCTTAAATTCGCATGTTGTGAAGTCAAAACCAGCAGAATACTTGGTTTCACTGGACAAAATGTTATTATGAAACACACCAGTCAGTTACCCACACACTTAAAGTAGCATATTACCTTGTTAGCAGCTCACGTGGGCTTTTTTGTCCACCTTTCCAGATGTCAGTAAGGTCAAGAAGAAGAAGAAGAAGCAGCAGCAGCAGACCCCCAGCTCAGCCACAGTGATGGAGCTGGTCAGCACCAAGCGGCAGGGAGTCACCAAGCAGGTCAAAAGGCTGCAGGGCCGCCTCGGTCCTGGGAAGAGCAAAGCCACTGTCAAAGACAAGAGGATCAAATCTGCAGTGGGTCAGTCCTCTGGTTGCATGTCACGCTGTCATTCCAATCACTGCCTTGTTCGTTAATGAGGGAACAGCTTTGTAGTGGAAAACCATCGGCATCGCACCAATCTGGATAACTGCTCTGTTTCAATCAGTGTCTCCCTTGATGAAAGTGCTGTAGCCCGGTTCTTTTGTTGTCTATAGCTGATGTGACATGTTGTGTGATGGTGTTTGTTTTGCGTTACAACATCTGTTATACCCGCTTCCTCTAAATTCCTCCTTCTTCTTCTTTGGTGTTAATTGTAGAGGAGTTCAGGAAGACACAGGGGAAGAGCCATTTGAGAGCTAATCTCAACTACTTTATGGGAACTGAAACCAAAGCAACTGATTCTGATACGCTGAAGGTAAGAAAGACAAATCACACACCTGTTGTTCTTGAAGTTTGTAGCAACGTGTCTGTGAAGATTCTCAGTCATCCAGGTCATAGTTATTCTCGTAGATTAATCGTAGCAACTGGACCTGCTTGAGGTCCTTGAAGACCTTCCACCTCTCATCCAAGAGGCTTCATCAGTTCTGACTGACTAGTTGGGAGTTCCAGTTTTAGGATTCAACTAGTTTGTGGAACTAGCGGGGGAATTGGAACATACCACTCAGAGAGATGTGGGGTGGAATAGTGCAAATGGTACTGGCCTTTTTAACAGACCCTCTCAATATTAGTTTTCCGTCTATTTATGATTTTCATTTGATCAAAAGAAGTCTACGGAAACACAATTCATCTGTCAGTCTTCCTATTTCTGATAGTTTATCATTTGGATTCACGAGAGTTGTACTTCATTGTAAAGATAATCAGCGAAAAGGATCTTAGATGTTCTTCTAGGTTCTTCTGTATTTTTAGTCTTGTAGATAACTGACATAGATTCATCATCAACTTTGCCAAACCGCCTCTATTGTCTGAGTTTGTTCTAAAGTCTTGATTTCTGTTTGTCCGCCTGTCAGATTCTGAACCAACACTCCGGTAGACAGTCGAGAAATCGCCCCGACAAACCCGCAAAGAAGGCGAAGGAGAAGGAGTCTTTGTTCACCGAGGAGGAGTTCCAGCAGTTCCAGAAGGAATACTTTGGCAGGACTGTGGAGAACAAGAAATAAAGCACACAGAGACACAAAGACACTGCAGCTGAAGCGTCGGAGCTGCGTTTTCTGGATCAAAGTGGATCTGAATGTCTCCTGCAAATTGGTGCCACAGACACCTTCTGTTGTATACAGGAAATATGAAATCTTCATCTTATTCCTGGCAAGACTTTCATTGTGACCAAGATGTGTCCATTCTGAACATATTGCAGGTTGAAGTTCACCACTTCATTAGGTGTTACTGTCAATGTGGCTCCGATATGTGCAGCCAGTAACAGCAGGACATACTTCAACGATGCATATCTAATGTTGGAGTCAAGCCTGAGTAATTTTTTTGTTTCACACCTTAGAAAAGTAGCCTGCTTTGGATTTGCAGAAACATAAGAAGTTTATTTAATTTATCAAACATCCTGTTCTCCTCTCTGATGTTTCTCCTGGTTGTTTTCTTCCATTCAGGATACTGTAAAGTTGAATTTAGTTGACTCAAGATGTTTTCTTTGCTATCTGTAGGCTATGGCTGAGCAGAAGTTCAGATTTTGAACGATAGGAAAATAAAAAGGTTGTCAAGTTGTCATGACAATAAATTCAAGGGTTTTTCAAAATAGTTGTCCTTTGTGTGTTTAACAATGATCACAACTTGTTAGACTGTCAGAAAAACTGGTTTGATTTATGAACACTCAGCTGCAGTTAAAGTATTTCAGTCTGTACATCACTGAGCATCACATCGAGTGGAGATGTGAGACGGTGCATTCACTGTGTGCTGTAAGGGCATCAGCTTTGTTTTCTGCTGGACATGCATTTAGCTGCAAAAAAAATCTGTTTTCATTCCAACAACAGCAACGTTTTGCCACAGGTATGAAATGAGATGAAGCTAAGTGTTATTAGACAGACTATGGATGGTTTAAGCTACAAAACTGCTCAGTCAAACGTAGCTCTGCAGATTCCTTCTAGTAAACAATTATTTCTTCAAAATCAAATAAATTCTGCTTGCAGTATTCAACTGTGCAGATTTATTCTGAGATTGGTGATGGAATTAAATTTGTTGTGTTTGACAACTGACATTTTTAAAACTCTTTATTTACAACTGTCACTGTAAACTGTTTCTAATATTGCAAGTATCAATATGTTGTAATTAAACTTATTTTTTTAATGCATTGAGCAGCGTGTCCAGTCCAAGCCTCATGGACCTGCACAGTGAACCGACACAGCACTGGATTTCTGGACAATATAGAAGTTCTCCAAGTGTTTGGGCTGTGAAAGGAAAACATATACAATTCAAAGCTCCTCCAAAGTTTGACAGCAGCTACACCATCTTTTTTTAAAATGCATTATAATGGTGTAGATAACAGCACATCTCAGTCTCTACTCAAAACAAGCATTTTTTTAAAGCATCATTTGTTTTCCTGGTGCGTTGAGCAGTCGGTATGCTTGCAGCGCGTCCAGTCCGAGCCTCACGGACTCGCACAGGTAACAGAATTCAGACCTTTTGGAGAGGTGACTACTGACCACTGCACCTTCAAGCCAAGCAGGGTGGATGCTGTTAACTTGGAAAACGAGCTTCTGCTGAAACTGAATAAAAAGCTCCGAACTGTGCAAGATACGCCAGCAAGTCCAAGAGCTGTAGGCCCGCGCCTGGCTGTTCTTTGTCACTGAGAGGAGGTTCTACTGTTGGACAGACATGAATAACAATTTCAGTTTTCTGTTAACAAACAAAATAGCTGCTTTATTTGTAGATGTGTTTAGTTTCATCCATACTTTTAGTTACTGTTAATCAATCAATCATTGTTAAAAGTCCCACTTTTCTATGGAATGCCTGAATTCAACATCAGCCATCAAACAGTAACTAATGCTCTGTGCTTTAGTTTCATTTTCTTTCAGTGTCAAAATAATGGCGGCCAAAGAGAGATGGGATATTTAACAAACAAGTCAACGTACTGAAATGGAACAATTCAATCCCGTCAAAAATTCTGTGACCGTTTGGTCTCAGCAGGAAACAGGTGTACGGTGCAAAAAACCATCATGTTCCACTTGCTTGTACGGAGGCTTTCTGCAGAGTTTGCTCTGGACAAACACACACAGGGAGCAGAGCCTGAATCACTGAACAACACAAACACTTGAGGAGGAGCGAGCAGACAGGACATACTCACATAACCGTGTGTTTTACTGACCCATATGTTTATATGTACACACACAC